ATATAGTTAAACTGTAAGTAGTATTTATAGTAAATATAAATTTTACTTAATTGTATTATATTTTATTAAATAATATGTAATATATTGTAACTGGACCCAAATACACCTATTGAAGAAGTATTCGATTTTTAAATTAACTTATCTTGTGTATATATATATATATATATACTACACTATAGGTAAAATATACTTATTTTGTTTAGAAAGTTGTAACAAATAAGAATCACAGAAGTCGTTTGTTTGGCCTAGGATATTATACATACATAAAATAAAACGTACGCGTGTTCTGATTATAGATGACATGACTTTTAGAAGTTATCACACTATCCCTACACTAAATATTTTGAAATTCCCATAATACTATGGAAAATGTTGTTAGTATTAGGTTTGATCGATACTTATTGTTCTTTCAGTTTTGTAAAAAATTATGAAAATATTAAGGTTACAAAATTTTTTCTTTGAACTATTTTCTTTTTATATTAATTGGATTAATAAAAAAAAAATCTGTTAGCCTTTTTTTACAGTAAATATATTAGTTAATATATTTATCTTAAAATTAAAGGAATTTTTTAGAGGTTTGAATGGTTCAATTTACAGAAGTACCTTACGGCAATCACTTAAAAGCGTAATATCATAATTTGAGAATAATCGCATATATAAATAATTAGTTTTCTTGTTTTTAATAATTGTTGTATATTTTATTATTCCTTCAGATCTTTGTTATCAAAATATATAGTTTAGTTTTTTGCAGTGTTTGTTTTAATAAAGTTCAGATAAAAATCTATAAATTAGGTACATTACAATCGTACTGATCGAATACATTTTTTTCTTATACACTAAAATTATAAAAGTTATGTAGTATTAGGCAATTTAGATTCATGTCAAATGAAATATTACTTTGTCGTATATGCCGATTGGGTTGTACATATAAACTCAAACACACCAGTAGAAATAAAGTAACACTTAAGAAAAATTGTAATTCTCCTGTCGTGGTCGAGTCACACGACCACCACAGAAGATTCCTTTATTGGTTTTTGTCTTCTCTCTTATATACATCTAGTTTAACCTAATTACACATAGTGCTTGCACGCTAAAATTAGCGTTTTTCAAATGAACATAGTATAAAAAATGTTGTTTTACATTTATCTTTTTATACACTAAAATGTTATGATAATCTATTTTCTATTGCGACATGAATATACGTTTATTTTAGTTTGTTTAATGTTTCATTTGACATGAATCTAAATTGCTCAATACTACAGTTAGTTAAAAATTATTTTGTCTATTTTAAATTGATTATCTTTATTGTTTAATTATTTATTAAACATTTTTTTAGTTTGAAATTGGAAAAAAATTGTATTCTACGCTTATATGTTTGATTTGATATTGATATATCTCTCAATGGTTCAAACGATTGGTTTAATTTTAAAAGGTTTGGCTCATTTCTCTTTTTTTAATATTCTTATATTTATTTACTCGCAAAAGAAAATTAATGTTTTATAGTAATAATAGAAAACAACCTATATCCAAACGAACGAGCTGGTCATTGTATTTTCATCATTGAATGACTTTTAAAGTTATGATAACTTTTATAATTTTTCTATTTGTGAAAAATGGTTCATACGTGGTGAATATTTAGTGTTTATTTAGAAGTATTTAATATTATGATTTTAAAATTTTAAAACTTTGATTGACTAAGTAGAATGTTTTAATACTTTTATACATAACATATATAAAGAATATAATTTTTAATTCGCATAAATTAAAATTTGTCTGTAGTAAATACTAAATAAATTATGATGAAGGACTAGAAATAGTCATAGTACCTAAATAATGTAAGAAAATTTAGGTAGGAAAAAATATACTAACAACTTACCTACACATGATGATGTAAAAAATCCGAGTTACATATTGTCATCATAATCATTAATAGTTATTACTCGAAAAAACTTAAACTAGAAAGATTTTTGTTAATTTCTGGAATTACACACACACACACACACACACACACATATATATATATATATATATGACTAATATGTGGTATGAGTCTGTTTACATCTTTTGGTCATAATTCATGTTTCGTTTTTATATACTTGGTGAAAACTGTTTAACTATGGTATTTTAAAATAAATGTATTATACAATTATATATCAATTATATGTGAACGGCATTCAATTGTATGACATTTTTACATTCACTTTAACTTGTTGAACGTTGCTGTGCCATTTATTATTATTAGATTACCAATAGAAACTTAGATTAAGATTTTATACTTTATTTTATTATACTTTAAATTTATTTATACATTAAAAATAAAATAAAATAAAATAAAATAAAATATATTGAAACATAGGCTAATATATTGAACATGCACTGTTGGCTTGGAAAAATAAAATTTAATTTAATTTTTTTGTGTTACACGGCGCTATGGCTATGTAATATAATAGCATTCGTGTCAATGTTTTAAATTTTAATCGTAAGTTTTTAAGACTAACTTATACATAGGTGTTGTATAATATAAAATATAATGCAACTAGTTTTATATAGAAATTCAACTTTTTTATCTTTATTACTAGGTAAATTCTAATTTTCACTTATTTTTAATTAATTAATTTTATGAGTACATACATTACTTGGTATTTTGTATAATTATTATATATATCTTAAATCTATATGTACTCATGTTTGATTAAGACAGTAATTTATTTATTTTAAATGGTCGTATGACGAAATGTTTTCTTTCTTTATTCATGATTTATTTTAAGCGAATATATTAAATTAAATAAAATTTGACTTAAAATATAATGTTTAAAAAAATTAAAACTAGGAGTACAAATTAATATTGTTGAAAGATTATGAGAATATTCTACTAGTATAAAATATCTTGAATTCATTTATACAAATAATATTATTTTAAAAGTAAAATCTAATAAATATAGCGAAATTAAGAGAATTTAACGTAGTATTTTCCTATGAATGAACACTCAACTTTTTTTTTATTTATTCATGTTACAAAATTAATTGGAATTATTTTAGAAGACTACCTAACATATTATGATTCATTAATTTTTATTAAGATGAAACATATAAATAGCTTAGAATAGAATAATGACAATTTTTTCTAGTCATAATATTACTATAGTAATAGTAATATAATACTATTCATTACTATAAGTAATGAAAGAAGTAAAGACAATGTGATCTTGAATGGGAAGAATGAGTTTGAATAAAACATTTTAACATCAAAAGACTCTATAACTAGGAAATAATAATAATGCACTTACCTAATACTTGTTTTTCTCATTAGGTACACTAATTTTATTTTGAGTTGTAGTGGTTCTTTTTATTCGTAATTTTGGATTTTATTCAATTTTCTGAAGGGAAGAAAAATTTCACAACGTTTAATGGGTGCTCGAGTATAAAATATGAAGCTCCTTCTCTTTATAAATTTAGTTCATTTTTTCCTGGAAAATTGGGTTTATGAAAAGTTCTTTCACGCCTTTTTATGGTCGTTCATTTTATTTTTGATACGACGATTTATTTGCAGATGACCTATTTTAACAACACTTGATTCACTTACTTTGTCTTTGGAATTCAAATTAAATTTTTTATTCAAAAATCGAAATTTATAATTGTTGGTAATTTTCACTTATTATAAAGATATAACTGTGTATAATAGGAAATATATTCTTGGATTAAAGTTTTCTAAAATTAGTTGGCTTATAATACTTGTTTTCAACTTATATACATGATGAAATCATTTATTTTATTTTATTAAAATTTATTATAGTTGGTCATAAAAATCGAAGAAATCTATTTTTCTATTATCAGTTATGAAATGTTTTTTATTTATAAATTATCCTAAATACATCATCATATTGTTATTGTTAGAGCATGATTTTTAAAATGATTGAATATTATACTTATTAATTGATTATATTTATAAACTCTTTATATGTCTTTTCGAATGCCTTAATATATATCGTAGATATAATATATATGTGCTTATAATATGTCTGTGTATATAAATATGTAAGTAATTCTATATTAATTTATAAAGTACATACATTTAAATAGAAATTATTTTAATGCATATCATATTTTATGTGAAATGATTATATTTTTGTCAATAAAATGTGGAAAGAATCTTTTGTAAATTAAGTTGTTAACAAGATTTTATATGTTGACTCTTTTGGGAGTATAGTAAATAATAACTGTGGTGACGGATGAAAACACAGTCTTCTTACTAAATAATATCTCCGGAAAGTGAGTGTAGAACGCAAAAGAAAAGAGTGCCTAAAACTAGTTTTTCGGTAATAAAAGAAAATATGAAGGAAAAAAATGAAATTATATTTTCATGAATCAACGAACTAAACGTTGTGTTTTACGTTTGTTCGTGATTTGTTGTTAATAACCGAGTTGTCAGCGAGGAAATAAAAACAAAAATGGAGTAAAATAAGGCGATTTTAAGAAATTAAAAGATAAACTATCTTTTACTACTATATTTAAATGCACATTAATTTATATTTTTCATTATACTTTTTTTAGAGTTACATATATCACGAAATTTTTTTTTGATTAATTTTAGTCTTGATTTTGTGCTTAATTATAACCAAAATGTATTCATCCAAGGAAAAATGGAGTATAGAGGTGTAATATGTACTCTTCCATTTTTTCTGTGTTTCTTTAACATGTTGTACAAATAATTGCAAATATTTATCTGTTAAAAATATTCTAATTAAGTTTAATATTAAATAATTTTGTTCGTCCTTAAAACCGAAAAATTAAAAATTAAAAAAAAAAAAAAAAATTTGATTCTTTCATTAAAAGTTAAATTAACTATTTCGAAAATGAATAAAATGTCTTTTTATATGTAAAGTAGATTGCACCTGATCTAATTTATTTCAAAATCATGGCTATTAAATATGTATTATGTAACTATTTTTAATTAGAAACATTTGATTTTTTTGTTAATATTTTTAATATATTATGTTTAGATTGTTCCACCTGTACCGGAAACGAACTCTGAGTCATCAAATCCAGAACAAGGCACGAGATTCAGTAAAATCAGACAAACGCTGTCATCAAGTTTAATGACAGCACAAGACAAAAGTAAGTTACCTAAAATATACTTTAATTTTTTTTTTTTAGTAAAATTCAGTATTTGATAATGTTTAATTATTGACAAATTATTATCATCAATTAATCTAATTGAAGATTAATTAAATATAATATAAACAAAATTAAAATATGTATTCAAATATCATAAGTTATGTTCATTCTACAATCTAAACATTTGGGACATGATTAATATATAGTTGAATTAACCATATAATACAATTTAATATTTCTAAAACGAAAACAGTAAAGTTATATAACCTTATGATAACCTTTTATTGACATTTTTATTATAAAAATATATTTGTTCTATTGATAATATTAAGATAGAATTTTAAGATTCTTCTTTTGTTACATAAATATTATTATAAAAACATTAATTTTTATATGCGTGTGTTCATCTGTCAAACTAAACGATTTTATATTATTTGATAGTCAGTATAAAAAAAGGTAAAAAATAGGTAAAAAATTTATTTAGTTTTGAAAAAATGGTTAGATATTATTGTCCGTTAATTTCCCATGTATGGGTTCCTTCATAAAAGTAACTTGACACTTATGGTTTGTTCTCGTTTCGTCATATTTGAGCATGTGAAAATTATGTATTTATAATTCAAGTAAGTTGTCACTTACAGTGGAAAATATTTTTAAGAAAAAATTGTGGGAGTTTGCTAAATCTAGATACTGCAATAGAAGTTTATCTGTGTTTTAGAAAAATTATCGATACTACTTTGAAGAAGATATTCAGTTATCTTCTTAAAAGCAATCTCAATTTTTGGCAAGCGCCCTTCTAATAAGTAAATAAATTGATTTTGCTGTTAAATTTTTTTATTTTATATTACATAAACCTTTGACAGAAGTGTTAAAATAATTAAATTTAATTAAAATTATCATAAATATATTTATAAGTATATGATATTAAATAAAATTAAATATTAAAATATTAAATAAAATAATATTAATATTATATTATAATATTAAATAAAATAATATTAATATTATATTATAATATTAAATAAAAATTTTGAAGCGTAGAGTTTATGCTTATAATTTGTTTTAAATTTGTTGGAAAGTGAATTGGGGTCTTGGTTGATAGCTGCAGTGAGTGACTCTGGGAGCTTAGAATATTTTTGATCCGGGTTGTTAGACTTCTTTATACTATTGTATGTATACTATGCAATTCCACAGTTATTAAATTACATAAAATTAAACATACAGTAATATATTAAACTAATTTTTTTGTATAAAACATATTTATATATACTATATGCACGTTGTTTGATAATTTATTGAATTTAATTTAATATTGTATTTTATATTTTAGTTACATTATTCATATTGTCACATTACATAGTTATTATTAAATTGTCCAGTTAACAATACATACCTAGGCCGAAATTTAAGTGAAATTTTCATACACACAGAGTTATAAGATAGTAGCACAAATTAACAAAACTTTCAAGATCCAATACATCAAGAATTCTATCTTTGAATTAGCTATCTATAAAATAATTATCTTTTAATAAGCATTTAAGTGACCCTTGATAATTTAATATATATTTGAATTATTTATTTTATTATACTGAACCTCGAATACTGGTCAATTGTATATAGATTCACTATACTAGTGATACTTATATACAAACACGCAAATGTACATTTATAAAATAAGTTTAGTATGTGTACAATTAAAATAAAGACATAGGAATATTAGTAAAAGTTTTCTTGAAATATAATATTGTTATTTTTATGCATTCTATGATATATTTTTATTGATATGAAAATAATAATTATTTTACCTAGTATTAATAGGATTATATTTATTCTAGGACCATTAAAATGTGTATATATTATAATTTACTGATTTTTAGTTAAAACTTTCTCAAACTGTATAATTCGTTTCCTCATAATAATCTCTTAATTTTGTGTTTTCTAATATATGTAGCTCTTGGAAGATATCGTTAGTAATTGTTAATAATATTAACTTGTGGTAAAAGTTTAAACAATAAATCATAAGATTGTAGAGTGACACGCAAATCTTTTATTTTAGTTTTATTGTCTTCAGAAGCCAACTAACAATATTTTATAATAAACGTTTAAAAGTAAATGGAATTTGACATAGTTATAACTAATTTAAATTTGTTATTTAATATGTTATGGTAGTTATAATATCGTAATTTAAATTGTAGTTTTGGTCAGTCTTACAAGATAAAAGGAATAAGAACAATTTGAATTAAGTTAAAACTTTATCATTACTTTATCATGAATGTTAATAATTTTTTTACATCATATAACTAAATATGTTAAGCATAACTTTTTATAAGCATCGATTGCATATGTTATGTATTGGTAAAATATTTAATTGAAAGACGAGTATCTTTGATGAAATACATTTTAATTGATTTAAATTTTTATAAGATAACAGCTATTTTATTATATTATTTAATTATTATTAATTAACTATTTTATAATAATCGTTATTATTAATATGTATTATTATATGCCACAATAAATATATTTAAATTTATTAAGATTTAATGTTTCACCAAGTGATTTTATTTTTTAAAATTGTACGTTTTTAGTTAATAAAATAATTGATAATAATTTTACATTGCATAATTTATTGATTTATAAACCAAGTTTTCCAACAATAGCATTAATGTTAATAAGCATTTTTTACTAAAACCTAAAGGGTCGTCTATTTAAGGGTCTATTTCAATAAATCTCTTAAATCCTATAAGTTTTTTTTTCGACATAAATTAAACTTCAATAGCTAAGCTTAATGTCTTTGGAGAAGTTAGGTTATATTTTATATTATTGGTATACTATACAAATGTTTTTGGTATAAACCATTACCTTTGTAACTCACACATCATGTATTTATGTCGAGTAATAAAATTAACGTAAAGATTAGATCAAGAACAGTTTTCATTAGCTAATGAAAGTAAATATTTGTATGAGATTATCGTTTAACGGTAGGGAAACATTTTAATAGCATGTAATGGGTTATATTATACAACTTCGTTATATGAACAAAAAATGATTCAAAAAAATTAAAAAAATGTGCATAGCTTATTGGTCAATTACTTTGACATTTAATTTATTATTTACCATTTATTTTTAATCCAAAAAAGTATAGAATCTATTTTCTAATTGTTTCATTATATACTCAAAACTATAAATTATAGTAGATATCTTATTGAATATTTTGAAGGATACGTAATTTTGATAAGATTATCTTGTAAATTTTCATTATTCTCAGATCATTCAAATAGCTAAACGATTTAGATTTTTGTTAGCAGATAAAACTTCCATGAAATATTAGCATTGAAATTGTTATAAAATAGACTATTTATTGAGTTTGATGTTTGTTTTATGTTTTTATTTTTTCAAACTATTTGGAATTGCGAACATATAATATACTCAATCTACATCCAAATTTTAAATCGATTGGCATGCTATTTGAAACTTTTGAAACGATTTTACTATCTTAATGTGTTTTAACAACAACAACAAATTCAATACTGTTAAATAAACGGTTTTATTTTTTATTCGAAAAAAATTATACAAAATATTGAATATTTGGGAGAAAAAATCATGATCTAACATTTTTGTTTGAATGTGTTTATACATAAAATATGTATAAAATAAAACAGATTTTATAAAGGAAGTAAAAAATAATAATACCATGTGAAGAATAACTAATTTTAAACGTATGTTAAACTTAAGATAGTTGTGTTTGAGATTGTTTTCAATTTACTTTGAAAACACTACCATATAGATTAAGTCAAATTTATTGTCGTATTGGAATTGAGTGATTATAACTTATGGCAGTCAGTTCTAATCAAATAAACCCATCAACTCCAAAATAATGACATTTTCGATTTTGTTTGTTAAAAAGTATTTACTAAAATTTTTAATTTGTAGTAGTAAATTTATAAAGTTGTTTGAAATATGTGAATTTAAAATTATCGGCCATAGAACACGGATATTCATCACTACATAAGTGTATAACAACGAGTGAAAATATAAGGCGTGATATTTCAGTGATTGTACATGGGGACGGGTTTAATTCGTGCATTTTCGATTATTTATTGTAATGAATGTGGGACCATATAAAAATTAAACTATTTTTAGAAAATATTAAATACTAACTTTTACAATGATTGTGTTATAGTAAATTAAAATGATTATGGATAAGTACTACTTGATAATATTGAATTAATTAATTAATAATTAATATGTGTATTTAAACAAGTGTATGTAGTTGGGCTTATATAAAAATGTAGGTTACACAATTATATATAGTAATTTATAATATTTTAATTTAAATATAACTGTAAAACTATTTTATTTTTATAGTGTTAAAAGTGTCGAAAACCAGAATATTATGTTTCTACGTAAATAATGATAAATTTTAATATTACAATATTTGATAGGGAAGAGAACAAATATTAATAATTACAAGATAAAAATATTTGATATTATAAATGTGAAATATAGATAATTAAGGTAGATAATGAAATGAATCAATGTGGATATTAGTAATTAAGGAATGGATATAAATGGAGTTAAACATAATTGTTCAAAGAATTTCCATTGTAAATCTATTAGCGGAGTAATAATAGGTATGAAATCATTGAGAATTTTCTTTATAACCTCCGGTATTACAGTTGACAGTTGGTGTACAGCATCAGAAAGAACATGTGCATAAGAAATTGGCATAAGATTAGGATTTAAATGTGTATTTAAAGGATATGAAGTATTTTAAGTATTTTAATATTTATTTGTGTTGTTGTGGAATACGATGGAAACGGAATTGATGTTTACGGAGTGATTTAAATGACGGAGAGCCTTTGAAGTTCGTCGTGTGATTACCTCCACACAGGGCACATTTGGCTGAGTAGCTTCTGTTTTTGCTGCACTCAGAAGTGAGGTGATCGTCCCCACACTTGACACAACGTGGATGGTGACCGCAAAACCGTCGAGTATGGTCATTGGCCTGGCATTTGTGGCATTGAGGTGGGCCTCAATTGACTTTTTACGGATTTTAGATTTTAACTAGAGAATTGAATAGAGATTTTAAATTAAGAATATCGTTGTTATTTTCAAAGGGTATTAAATCATAATAAGAGAGTGGTAGAGCAATGATAAGTTTTAATATATTCGAGACTCTTGTGACAGTATGACCGAAGGTGGTTCAATTTTTAGAAATATTGAAGGTAGTCATCGTATGGTGTAAGTTCCTGATTACAGCCTGAAATGAGCGTAGATGTGATGGAAGAGAGGAATGTTACTCAAAACTCGTTTTCCTCAAATAGGTAATGACTGTATTGAATCTTTCTTGGTATTCGAGACGAAAACTTAAGAATGACCGGGTAGCTTTAAAAGATGGTTGATATCATTTATACTTGATAACACATTTTTGAATAATGTAATATTATTTAAATTTTTAACTTGGATCGGAGTAGGATTTACGTGTGGCTTGTTTGAAATAAGTATTATGTTTAGAACTTGATGGGCTGTTTTTGCATGACGCGGGAAACATATCGTCATTAGAATCGTCTTCAATTGATGGAGCTGCAAACTGGTTTGGTTATGTGAATAACTTTGGTTTTTTGTTGTTGTGATAGTGAATTTATGATTAAGGATGATGATATAATATTATTATACTCAACATTTAGATCAGAAGAGTTTGTAGGTTTTTTGTCCAAATTTTAAAAGAGAATCCCTTACCATTGGAATCATAAAGAATAGTTTTTTGACTATATGTATTGGGATATGAGTACTAGGTCTGTTATAATATTGAGGTTTTTTTTTCCATAGCGCATTATGCGTGTAATGGCGCTTACATTGGGAATTGTCGTTATATTTATATCGGCATACGTGCGAACTTTACGACCAAGTTATCTAAACTGAATTTAATAAATTAAAATTTGATCAAAAGCTAAAAAAAATAAAAAAAAATTATTTTAAACAGAAAGCTTATTTATTTATCAATATTATGTCGTGAGATATATCTATATAGTTTATTGGAATTACGAAATAGTGTTTGTAAGTAATTTTTTTTTTTAGTTTATGGTTTATAATATGTTTTACACTCCGTGTATACGTTAAGGATGAATAATTTATATTCAATAAAACATGAATGACAATTAAATTACTAGGAAAATATAATATATTTCTGAACCTCCAATTAATATATACATTAGTAGTGTATACGTATATGTGTACATTTTGATTTAATTGAGTAATATATGTAAATTTTTATAATATGCAAGTATCAAAAAAAATTTTAGTTGGTTAGTCTTAAATTTGATTATGGGTTGTCTCTATTTAAAGCGTTTAAATAATTATAATCAGCTATCATGGGGTAACAAAATTGGTTTGATCATAAACGTTCTTAGTTCAAACCCATCAATTGGAAGTATAATTTTTCTAAGAACTATTTCATTTATTTCTATTTATTAAGTTATATTAATTTAAAGTTATGTTTAAATAAACATTTCATATTTTCATGTGTTTATTTAAAACTTAAAGCTAAATAATATTGTTAAGATAGGGTTAGGGTTAGGTTATTTTTACTGTGTAAGGAATATTTAGATTTTAAATAAAATTACTTATTTAAAATTTGGATTTTTAATTTTCAAGAAATGTATTATAACAATGATATTTTTTGCTCACTTTATTATTAGGATTTTAATAATAGTAGCTAATATAAATTACTTTTTATGATTAAAACTTGTATTTATCCATAAATCTTTACTGTTGATGATGTATACATATATTGATTTTGCATTTTGTATTTTTTTTTTTTTAGTGACAACTAAACTAAATAGTGCGAGTAATCGGCAAAATCCTGCGGAAAGTAACCCTACTCCTAGCCCTGCATCTCCACCAGAAGATAATACGAATAAGCAACCTACTACAACGTATGTAATTATAAAAAATAATGCACTTTATCCTTTCAGTCATGAATAAAATTAACTATATGGTTTATTTGATTTATATTTTATTAAAAAATAATAATTAAATATTAAAAATTTAATTATTTACTAAACAGTAAATGTAGGCTCTTCATTAATAGTGCAATTTTATATAAATTAAAATGTGATAGCATATTTTAAATATGAGTATAAGTTCAAGAAAAAGAAAGAAGTTTATTAAAATGTATCCACATTAAAATATAAAATAGAAAACTTATTTTATTTTATAAAATTATTAAATATACACTCTATTTTTGATTGTTTTAAGTTATAATGAAATGTATAGTATATAATGTACAAATTACTCGACAGTTTTAATCCAAACAATTAAAGTGTATATTTTATATTATATTATAATTAATATCAATTTTAAGCTTTATAAGAGGATAATATATAAATCGACATAAAACTAATATGTATGTGATTAATAATTGATGTAAATACAAAAATTTAAAAAAAATTAAAAATAACTACCAGTAATAGTTTTATAATCATAAAAATAAATTTTTACAACTCTTAAGACATATATACAACATGATAAAATCTATTATCTGAAGGAAAGTTTCTTAGAAGTAATTTCATCTACGACTTTAGTTATAATAAAAACAATGTCATGCATGTTTATCAAATACGTTGAATTCGTTTATTAACACTAAAAATCACGTTTACTTACAGCTATATAAATTAACTTATTGTATGCATAATATTGAATTTCATAGTTAAATAACTTTCTCACAAAATTAAGGTCATTATATTTTATGGTTTTATATTATAATTTTATATTGATTTTGGAAACCTATTTTCTTTTATATACGTTATTATAATTTCGTTATATTTGTGCTATATTTTGGGAAATATTTCATGATTTTAATTTTGCATTTAAATAGTATTTGTTAAAATGAGATATGAAAACATTTTAAATTACTCGTCACGTTTTCAACTACCGACCGTTGAATTTTTTGCATGTTATAAAATATTGTATCATATATATTTTGTGTTATAATAAGTATTGAGATTTATCTAGATAAAAATATTAATCATTTGTTATTTCATCTAGATAGATTTACAAATCGATAAACATTAGATAAATTAAGTGTTCATCTAAAGATGCGTACAGTCTATGATATAAAAAGATTGGTATGTTTGTGTAATCAAATTGTTCTTTTGCTTGTTGTGTTCGTAAACATGACACACAATCCATCCAAACTATAGGGAAGATTTATATTTCTATGTTCAATGAACACTTTTTGTGAACCCCAGTTCCAAGGTAATGTAGGTAATGTATGGTAATGTAATGTAAGTAATGTAGGTGTTGCTAGTTGTTTAAGTGCCCATTCTAGAATATTTAGTTTGTAATTTTTGAAGCTTCATTTTGTATGATGGAATTATCGAATTCCATTTTTTCTTTAGTACCACAGATGAATTTTGAAAATTTTTACTTATTTCTCTCCATGCATCTACTTTTTCATTTCTAAATTTATGGTGTTTATTTTTTGAATCTCACAAAAGCGATTTTTTTTTACGACTTAACCAATAAATTTCAAAGCATTTTCATCTGTGAATTCAAATTCAATATCTTCCATTTTCATGTAATGAAGATATAAATTGTATAATAAATAAACGCGTGCGTACATAATTGACGTAAATATTCGTTAGAAAGTTGAGAGAACCACAGTTTACAAATTCAACAAACATGGGGAAATTCGAAAAACTGTCCAAATTGATAAAATTTCTTTGATATACCACCTCACCAGTGAATAATACGGACATTACGAACATTGTTGTGTGTTGGTTGGAGTTTTCGGAAAAGTTTATCCACACTGTCAGTGGCGTATCCAGGATTCATTTAACCGGGGTGTTTTAAAATTTATTAGACTTATGGTAAATAGAGCTTCTGCCTCCTCCACCATATTAAATAAATAAATTCCATGTACTCGTATTTATATAAATGAAAATGATTACATTAAAACAGCATATGTAAAACCTACAAGTTGTATACAACGTTTATTCAAATAATCAAAGTAAGTTTACAATATGGTAAAATACCATAAAATAAAGCCGATGAGGGGTGTTCTAACACCCATATCACCCCCCTAAATACATCCTTGCACACTGTTACCTTTCGTTTATTTGCCGTATTCGTGATTATCGATTTTGTAATGTTCTCGTATAGTCTGAACACACCATAAGATAGATAAATAGATAATGTTTATATTTATATTATTTTATCTGGAAAGAAATATAAACTTTAAAAATTTATCAATCTTAGATTAACACTTTAGTTATCTACTGTTTATTTATCAAGGTATATTTTTTATATATAATATTTAATTGATATTTTAAGAGTTTCGGGAACTCGGGGATTTTGCTGCATATCGTTAGGGTGGCCGTGACAAAAATATTCAATAGTAAAAATGTGTAGTTAAACTTAATATGATTGAAAAATTACTCAAATATTTTCCTTAATTTCAACGAAAATGTATACCCTAATAAGTATTGACTAAATGTAGCTATTATGTATTTAGCTCTAATAGATAAATAAATATATATATATATTTATGTGTATATGGGCCTTACCAAGACTAATTATACACAAGAATGACAATTATAGCTTTTTAGGTAATGGATAACAACTAATAATCATTATCATCATCATCTACTGTTTCATTATAAACTATTTGAACCATGCGGAGATGTTTTCTTTTCGTTAATTTTATATTAATGAACTGTAAAATATCGTGACGTGCTAAATGGCCAAATGGGTATACCTATTGTCCATCTACCACTAATAATCTTTCACTAGTGTTTTCCAGCACAATTGGTCTTACCATGGAAAGCGTTTACGCTTAAATAATATTCAGAAATAAGTATTATTATCAAATGCTTTCCTCATTTTTTTTATTCTAAAAAATAAAACATTTTAAAATTCAGACAAATTTTTTACACCTCAAACATATACAAAATGTTTTATTCGTGATAGGCCTGATCATTTTTTTTTTTTTTTTAATTTAACTTAAAATAATTGTTTTTTAAAAATGTATCTGCTTTTTATTTAGATGAATAATGATTAATTTTTATGAATATAATTTCAGTTGAGCTTATTTTTATCTTTATTGAAATATATTTTTTTTTACTACCTTTATATTTATCTAGATAAAAAAGTATTTATCTGGTCTCAGTTACAGTCACTGGTTATAATACATATTTTCTAATTAACCGTTAGCTTGCATAGGTATAATTATTGGAATTGATAAAAGATAATATAACTGTCAGTAATACATAGTGTAACTTACTTGTCTTTTGCTTACCTTGTTTTGACACGTAAACACTATTAAAATTAAAATATTAAAATTGATAATTTATTATTTTAAATAATTGATTAATCTTATATTATTTTGATTTAGTTCTCTGTTGTGCAGTATATGTGTTAAATTTATATATTAAGTACAGAAAATATATTTCTGCTTACCATAATTTTAATATTGCTGGCATAAAGTATATTTAAATCTTCACAACTTTATGCATTTGTTTTTCAATGATTTTATGTTAACCAATACCCTTCAAGGTATTTTATTTCCCCTTTGTTAATCTTTGTATGAAATAGATTTGCAGTATTGTGGAGCCAACACTCGATGTTCAAAATGTAGGTCAAGGATTGATGTTACTACCGAAAAATATAACCTGTTTAAAGAATGTGAATATAATGTTCTTATAATATGCAAGTTAGGTTAATCTTTGGGAAATTTATTTTTTAATATATAAATTAAAATATACGCTCGTTCTTTTACAAGAATCACTTTTGTGCAAGCATGTGATTTTATTTGGCATTAAAATTAGTAAAATTACATAAAAATGAAATAAATATATTTAACAATGTGATTTATGAAAATTAATGATCATTCCAAAAATGTGGTGTCAAGTTACCATTTGTGTAGTAAAATTATATTTATATTATTTTAAATTAAGGAAACTCCCACAATAGTTTTAAATAAATAGTTTTATATATTTAAATAATCCTTCTCTGTTTAACTACCACTCTATGATCAGAATCCTGTAGAAAATATGCTCACATTCTATGATGATTTAAAGGCGAAGAGAAACACTAAATTACACTTCAGATCAGTCGATAAAAATGTTGAGTAAACACGGTAATATTTCTTTATAGACATTAAAGTTTACCTCAATCGATTATCTTTGATTTTTTGTATATAATTGTTTGAATTTACAGTTCACGGGATATCTAATAAAAATCCTGCAATTACTTTTAATTTAAGGTTATACAGATTTTGCTTTAACGTAATTTTAACTTAGTTTATTTGTGAATATATATATATATATATATATATATATATATATATATAT